ATCAGTTGCAGGTGACAAAGCTGTTATTCCTTTTTGGGAAGGAATTCCGCATTATTCGTACATTGATTGGAGTTATCGGAGCGAACAAGAATCATGCTCTGATGGTACGGTTTCAGGATCGGGTTCAATACAAGGTCCGTGGCAACTGGGTGACAAGTTATTTGTGAACCAAGAATTTGCAACAAAAAAAGATGTCCAAATGGCACTTAAGCATAACCTCATTAGGGAGCATCAAGAAGCAATTGTAATTGAGAGCACGCCTGCGAAATCCATGAAATGTTGTGCGTACGATAAAGGTTGCCCGTGGCGCGTGAGGGCGATCAAACCAATGTTTGGTGAAATTGGAAGATTACGAGATGGGGAGGAGATCACAATTGTTTGAATGACCACATTTCCCAGGGTCATAGACAGCTCGATGCGGACGTTATTGCGGATCTCATCCTAGGTACGTATTTATTTACGATGAGATGTCAACGTTTACATACTGCTGTGTAATTAAATTCGTTCTATGTAATGTTGTCTGTAATCTCCATGTTGCAGGGATGATAAGGGAAGAACCATCTGTCTCAATTTCTTTGGTTCAAGAAAGGATAACCTCTAAATATGGCTTTAAAGCTTCGTACAGAAAGGCATGGTATGCGAAGCAGAAATCGATGACAATTATGTACGGTGATTGGGAGGAATCGTATGCTTTTTTGCCAAGGTGGTGCGAATACATGCTTCGCTTTTCTCTAGGTTCATTTTATCATATCCAAACAAATGATTTTTATGTGGAGCATGGGTTAGTTCCTGGAAAAAAAGTGTTTCATCTCATGTTTTGGACATTAAACAGTGTTGTGAGGCGTTCAAATTTGCCAAACCAGTCATACAGATTGATGGAACACATTTATATGGGAAGTACAAGGGCAAATTGTTGGTGGCCACAACCCAAGATGGAAATGATGAATGTTTACCAATCGCTTTTGCCATCGTTGAAGGAGAAACATTGGAAGCCTGAGACTATTTCCTTATTAATATTCGTGCTCATGTTACTGAGATGTCAAACATATGCCTCATCTCCGATCGTCATCGTAGCATAATATCCGTTGTGGAGAATAACCGTAATTGGCTGCCACCAAATGCATATCACGTGTTTTGTATTCATCATATTGCAAGCAACTTCAATCAAAAGTTTCGAAATGAGGGTTTGAAGCGGATGTTAAAGAATTTAGGTAAACCTCAATAACAAAAACTTATTTATTTGTTTCCATTTTGTGTCTCAATTTATGTTTATACGATGATGTCCAAATTGTGCAGGCTATACTCTGGCCATGGTTGATTTTGAAAGAAATCTTGCAAGCTTCCGTGAAACGAGTCCTCAAATTGCTGAGTGGATTGATGCCATCCCTAAGGAAAAGTGGTCGCGCGCGTACGATCTCTAAGGACGCAGGTACGGGCATATGACAACAAACTTGGCAGAATTTGTGAATAGGGTTTTTAAGAGGCCAGAAATATGCCGATAACTGCATTGGTTAAGCACACATACAACAGATTGTCGAGTATTTTGTTACGAGAGGTACATCTGCCGTTGCGCAGCTTCAATCAACTCATCGTCATTGCAAAAATGTTGTTGAATTGGTCAAGAAGAATGAGGTACTTGCAACAGGCCACCATGTCCATGCATACAACGTGGAACATACTGTCTTCGAGGTTGACGCAGGTTGGGATCGTTCATATTCTGTCAATCTCCCACAAAGATTTTGTCAATGTGGAAAGTTTAAGGCCTTTAAATACCCGTGTAGTCACGCCGCTGCTGCTGCTTTAAGTGTTAGGAAGAATCCTTTCCAGTACGTAGACAATGTCTTCTTGACAACTAACTTGGTCGAGGCTTATTCTTTTCCTTGGCAGGCAATTGGTAATGTGCATATACATGGCTTGAAGTACTGCCCTGCATGTGGGATGGCGTGAACCCCTGACTCTGTCTGTCTGTGGCTAGAGTCTCCTCACTATCATGGCTACCTGGGAGAAGGCCTAGTGATGACCACACGTGGAAGGTATCCTCTACAGACCAATCCAGCACGTCAACATCAAGTCCTTGTGAATACGACTATGAGGACGGCTGTGCATATGACTGATCGAGTCCAGCCATAGCCATGGGACTGGCCTGGAAAACTGGCTCCTGTGAATCCATGTATGGGTGCTGAGACTCCGGCTGGCTAGGACCACCTGCACCCTGGGATCCGTGATGATACGTCGGTTGTGACCCGTATGTAGTCCCAATGACTGGAGGTCTGAACCATCCCTGAGTCTCGACCACTGGTCTCGGTGCCACTATCAGAACAGGGACAGCTGCAACTCGCTCACGGGTACGTCCTAATTCGCGTCCCTCCTGTCTATTACGGGGAACATCCAGGGACAACTGCCGATCAGGCTGTGTCTGGATCGGTGGTGCCTCAGGCCCAGGCTCATATACCCGTGAATTCTCCCAAAAAATGCCAATAATCCTGCCAATCTCCTCATGGATATACTATAAGCCAAAGCGAGGAAACTCCTCTGCAGTTGTTGCATGAAACAACATCTCTAGACCGTCAATATGTATATAACAATGTGTAAGCAATGTCAAACAAATGTAAAATAATAATGAGGCATTAAAATAAATGATAAACTCACCATTCGTCCAATCTTTGCTGCCCTCCGAGAAATGTATCTCTTTCCCCTAGCTCTGTACCACTCCATGTACTCATGGTTAGGTGACATCAACCCGAGTAATGGAGGGGGCAGAACGATATGCTGCTCCCTGGCCTGCCATCTGGAAATCCATGGACTAAGCTTACGTCTCCAGTTCTCGTCAACCTTCACCCGCAGAGTATGATCATGGATCCCTTTCAACTTCCTGCTCACATCCAGGATGGGTTGGTCCAAACCAAACTGTCGCATGCACCTATCAGGTTGACATGCCTCTACGGTGTGGAATAATCACATAAATACAAAACGCCGGAAATTGCATACCTGGATATGTCGCATGCAGGTAACATGTATAAATCCAACCTGTGTGAGGTCATCTGTGACCACCTCTGGAATAGCGCCGGTAGATGGCCCCCCCAAGGTCTCCCACGCCTGGTCTTCAGTCTCCTGACATGTTCCGTATTCCACACTCGCTGTGAAATATGGGCACTCTGCGTTCTCTTACGAAGGACCTCCCATCTATACAACCCAGGTATGATGTACATGCTAGGATCGGTAGGCTCTAGATCCGATACAGAATCCGCAGATGATGATGAATCACCCATGACCCTAAACTATATAATATAAAACAACATTGAAATTAATCACATGCAACAACACATTTTATGTACAAATTAATTAAGCAATGCCCTAATTTATTATCAAAAATATTAAGCATAAACCCTACGTTTTTACTACAATCGTAATTAGTGAAATAATATTAATACGTAGTACTGTAATTTATTTGTAATTAAATAATAATAAAATGTCGGACACAAATTAAATCATACCGACATAAACCCTAAACCCTAAGTCACTGATAATTTCATAAATATGTACTAATAACAACACCTAAGTGACTAAAAAATTATCAATACACTCCCGCATTCATAACATCATACATAATTTACGAAGTCACTATCACTATTTTCAAAATCACTAATTAATACGCTAAACCCCAATGCATAATTAAATAATAATCATAATAACAACGTAACAAAAAAAAATTACTAAATCAATACAACACTCATAGCATGGCACAAAATTTCTAAGTGACTATCCTTATGTTCTAAGTCTGTAATATACGATAAATCCTAACATGTTCGCAAGGTAGCACTGTAATTTAAACGTATACATAGCAGGTATTACGAACTTACCTAAGTTAGCAGAACTTCGCTACGAAAATTTCCGCGTTCGGTTGAGAGCACAATCTGTGGTTAGAGAGAGGTAAGAGTAAGAGTGAGAAGTGAAATGGTAAAAATGAGGGTATTTATAGGGCTCAAGTGTGACACCCCTTTTGGGCGTCACATGTGACGCCCCATTGAGGCGTCTTCCCTTAGTTGAAAGGGGCGTCACCTTGTGCAATAAATGTGCAAATTTTTCAGAAAGTGTAATAAATGCGTAAATATTTTATTAAAAAACAATAAATAAATTTTTTTGCCCAATTATTAGATTAGTTGAATTACGATTGTTATTTTATTAAATTTAATATAAATATTTGTGATATCTTATGTATTTCTTTGCAAAATTGATGAGTATTATAAGTTTAGCTTAATTTTTTTGTTAAATTATTGAATATTAAATATAATATACTCTACATAATTAAAAATATTATTTAGTATCAAAACATGTTCTAATGTGTCGAAATCGAACAAATTTTATAATTAACGTATTGAAGTGTCGTGTCCTGTGTTAGTGCAACATAGATGTTACGCGTTAAAAACATAAATTTCTTATTAAAAAACTATTATACTCATATATTGACTCAATCATAAAATTCAACTTATTATATTCAAATGAATTAACCGATACTTATAAAGGGTTGGGTGCAGTGGTAAACAAATTCTTCTTTTAGGAAATGGCTAACTATTTTGTTTCATTGGGAATGAATTAATTTAAAAAAATAATAATTAATAAAAGTTTAATTCAGTAAAAAAAAGAAAACATTCGATGAAAATCAATAAAAGTTTATCAAGATTCAACAACCGAATTCTCTTTTATCAAGATTTAAAGAGTCACTCGCACAAAAATGTTATTCTTTCTAAAAAACAATAGTTATTTAACATTTTTGTATGTGTATATATATTTATATATATATATATTTGTAGATCCTACTAAACAAAGATGTTTGAAGGATTAAGGCCCATGGGCCCATTATATGACATGAAATTCACAGGAAGCGAGTCACCGAGTCACCGGGTCACAATCTTTTAATTTGAAAAGTTAAACCGAGAGAAACCAGTCGCGGCATGGTTGTTCTGCAACTGCAACCTCTTGCATGATCTTCTTCACAGAAACCCTAACAAACCCAGTGAACCCCACCACATAAAAAGATTGCAACTCTCACTTTGATTTCAACAAAAGAAAAAAGAAACGACTTCGTTTTGGAACTTTAACCCAATGGAGAATCGGACCCGGGTTCGGTGCCCGGAGAACCAGGAGCTAGTGTCTTACATGTGGAACAAGTGGAAGGAAATGGCGCAGCAACCAAAAGGGATTTCTGATAACATCGAAATGACCCTTTCTAAGGCACATTTCAATGTCTGTAACTCTACAAACCCAATTCGAACCATCAAAGATTTCTCTCGCGTTAAGTATGTGTCAATTTCTCCCACGTTGTGTTACCATAGATATGTCTTATAATTATTTAAATATTATAAAAATCAGTGTATTTATCGTGAATTTTAGTTTATGTGTTGTGCATTTCTCTCACATTGTGTGTAGAAGCCTATCATAGACTTATATATGTCATATAATTAAAATTTATTAATGTATAGACATGTATATGGTTTGTTGTGACTTGAGTTTATACTTTATAGTAATAAAAAAAAAAGTTTAAGTTGAAAATTATCAAAATTTTGATATATCGTTTGTGGACCTTGAAAGCTTGAACTTTAGTGTATAATGTATTGATGTGTTTGGAAAGTGATGAGGGTAAAGGATAAATTAAGGTTATTTAAATTGTTTTTTTTTATTTTGTAGTGTACTTATCTAATGGTGCTCTTTTGTGTTTTCTGGAATTGTGTGGAAGGGGTGTGGGGAAAATGATTTTGAGGCTCATGCAGGGTTTTTTTGGAACCGGTTCTGGGGATTCTGAACCAGAAGAAGACTTGACCAAAAAGGGTATGACTGGTGCTCTCTGTATTTTTTATTTTTTGTCATTTTAAATTGGCTTTACATTTATTGTTGTCCGTAGTTCGGTCTAATCCTTCCTTTCTTCTCCAAACTTATAGGAAAGAAATCTAAAGTAACCAAGCGCTATATGCCTCAGAGGAACTCTGTGGCATATGCATTATTGATAACCCTTTACAGGTATGGATAGCCATTGTCACTTGCACTGCTGATGCATATTTTTTTGTTAAATTTGTTGTGTAACTCATCACTGTAAAACTTGTTTGATTATGAGATTTAACACACTTTTAATAGGGGAACTTCAAATGGGAATGAATTTATGCGTAAACAGGAACTTATTGATGCTGCTGAAGCTAGTGGGCTATCTCGAGCGCCAATTGCGTATGTTTGATATACATAAATATATATATATATATATATATATATATATATATATATATATATATATTTTGTTTTTTGTTCTTTGTGTTTATAACTATATGTAAACAAGAGCCTGTGAAAATGTATACCACTTTTGACCAAGTGCATTTTGAATGTTCAGACCAGAAAAAGGCAAAGGAAAACCTGGACATTTTGGAAGTTCTCCACAGGATTGGTATAGTGGATGGAGCTGCATGAAGACATTGATAGCTAAGGGATTAGTTGTTAAATCAAGTTGTCCAGCAAAGTATGTTTATCCATTGTGATTGTCTTCTTTTACAATGTACTACTAGTTTTGCATATAAACTTTATCTCTTAAAAAAAACTTTATCTCTTAATCTTTTATAAATTAAAATCCACTGGTTAAGGGAACTGCCATATTGTGAATCTTTAACTATTTTCTTAAATTGTTGATTTATATTTAGGACTAGGAGTGGGCATATTTGTCTTTGTGCTTCAACAATTGAGCCTTGTGATAATAACATGATAAATTTCTTTACGCATTATTTTTCTGATTCATTACCAGTGAACATTGTGGCTGTGATTTGTTTAAATGAGCCTTCTTTGGATGAATCTGCCTAGCAGAGCTATTACACACCTAGTACTTAATTTACTAGATACTATGATATAAAACCAGCAACTTTTAGAGTGATTCTTTCGAAGCAACTTTAAATGATGACATATCATCTTACAATGAAAAGTAGAATGTGATATCTTTAAATGAAAAATCTCTACATTTTAGTGGATGATTTATGTTTTGTTTTAAGGTACATGCTAACTCAAGAAGGTAAGGAAGCTGCATGTGACTGTCTCACAAGATCTGGAATGGCCGAATATCCAGAGAAGTCGGCTTCTGTTGAAATTCCTTTGTATACGGACAAACAAAACTCATTAGATATGGAACTCAATGGTCATGAGTTCGAATCAGAAGTGATGTCGCCATTAACCCAGCAAAAGAAGCCAGTGGATATTCCTCTTGATTCCCTTGAGAGGGTATTTTTCCTCTTATTTAAAGGCCTTGTTACTTCTTTTGTTTCTTCAAATTAATATCAAAGGCTTCTGCCCCTCACTAGCTCCTAATCTGTGGAAAGCACTGAAACAATGCCTGATGCTGATTTATATGGTGTAAAATCTGATTTGTTGTTCTTTTTTTATCCTTGGATGCATTTTCTTGAAATTACAATTCTATCATTGATCTGAACTACTCCGATCGTAATTATCTTAATAAATCTTTGTTTCTTGTATTAATTGTGCACGGTAAGTAAAATTGTCTGGTGAACACCCTTGCATGGTTAACTTGATCCATTCATTTTCTTTCCTATGTCTAAGAGACTTCAGCAAAAAATACAGATTATATTTTATTAGTTGTGCTCCCACTTCGTCATTTACCTACTATAAAGCATGTTCACTCCATTTTGTACTATGTCTCTGTGTTGGATGTGTCCGACACAGACACTTGTATGACATATCGGCGACACATGTTCGTCACATGTCCGTACTTGTCCAATTTTTTCCTGGCTCAAACATGGCCATTTAAAACTTGATTTTTTTTTTCTTGTAGTTGCACATGGTTAACAGAGGGCGAACCGGAGCAGTGATAAAACTGTTCCTTTGTGACTGAAAAGTCACGGGTTTGAATATGGGAAACAGCTTCTTTACAATTATTTGCAAGGGTAAGGCTGCGTATAAGGATTGCCCTCACCCCACATTCGCTAGTCGGGTTTAATTGGAGAGTGGTTTTTTTTTTTTTTTTTGTAGTTGCACATGGTTAGTTTTACTATGACAAGTTCATTTGAGAAATTTTTGGGAAAATGTCATTAGAGTGTTCTCCATGTTGTCTTGGGAGGGGCTTACAAATTAGCAAGTATGATCACATATGACATATATCAAGATATTGTATGTTTTGAAGTTTATATATATAGTAGTGTGAATTATTAATCTTTTTCGCTATATATATATATATATATATATATATTTGTGTGTGTGTGTGTATACATACATACATTCATACATAAACACTCAAAGCACATATATTATGCTCTGTCTGCGTCCTAAAACTTTTAGAATTTATTGTCTGTGTTTCATAGGTTACCTCCCTTTTCTTTCAAAGTAGGTCAATGAAGTTAATGTACTAAGATTACCTGATTAATTCACTTGTTATTGTCATGTCACTTTACTTGCAGGTTTATTTTTTATTTGCTGATAATTGAAATGTGATTTTTCTCTTGTCACTTACAATTTCTTCTTTTGTAGTTTACACACATGGGTTACTCCAAGGAACAAATTGTTAATGCATTTACTGAAGTTTCCAGAAGCCATCCAAATAAAGATGTCTCATCTCTGTGGCTGGCTGTTTTATGCCATCTTCGAGAGGAGCAAGTCTATGGTTCACAGCCAGAATCTCAAATTATTACAAATGATTGCCACATGACAAGTGCTAATACTGTTGTAAATGGTATTTCTTTTTCCCTGTTTGACAGCATTTCTTAATGACACTGATGAAACTTTTTTCTCAATAAATCATTTCATAAATGACCAGGTTGCAAAGACTTCATTGGAAATGAGAGCAGAACTGTGAGTTCATCCTGCGGTGGGCATTTGCCAAACTTCTGTTCTCCTGATATTCCACATTTTCTTTTGAGAGCTTGCTCATCAAGTGTATGTTTTGATCCATTTGCTATAATTGATATAGTTTTTACACTGTGCATCTTTTATAATGTAGAAATGGGTCATTTATGTGATAGTATACTGGAAATAAATGATGAAATGTTGCTTTCTTTTTTTCCAAAAAAATAAAAAATAAAATTTTTTGTTTTTGACCTGATGGTGTCCCTATTGATGTTGTTGACATTCAGTAATTTGTTTTGCAATTACATGTGCAAGGAATAAGAGTAGATAGTGCTTATATTACATTAAAGTAGGTCAAATGCGCTTTAACCCCCTCCCCCAGATTTATTATTTCGATTGCACTCTCCACCCTGATTTATCAAATTAAGCACATGAGACCCTAGTTAAACACAACTCATTGTTATCTCTTCGACTTCTCCCGTACATCTAACTTGGATGTTACAATTGATAGAATTAGATGCTCATGCCTTGCACATGAACTTTTGGTGTTATAAAACACTTGTCCTCTTATGCATATCTTTATTTTCATCAAATTTTATCTTTTTTATAATTTTTATTTATTCCTAGAAATAAAACTTTTCAGGACATCAGGTTCTGCTGCTGTACATTCTGGGAGTTACCTACTGTACCATATTCCACTACCAGCCTTGGACTGATGTTCAAATCTCTTTAAGTTTCAAATCTTTTACCCTTCGCACACAGAGTTCAGAATCTACAAATTTTCCTATGCTTCCATTTTCTAGTTACAAACTTTTCTAGCCACTTTCATACGGTAAGCAAAAAGCCCTAGTATTCTGAAATTTTCCCTCTAATAAAACCTTCGCTTTGCTCCTAGATGTCTTCTGATATTTTCCCTCCAGCAAAAATTTCCTTTCTTGGCTTCGCAGTTGTTCTTCTCTTGCTCCCATTCTTCTTTCACTCTCCTAAAATCTCCCCTCTCCGAAAACACTAACTTTTTTTCTCCTCCAAATACTGAGGGTTAGAAGACCCAACATAGACAGATTAAAATTCAGATGAAAGCTCAAGCTCCCGGGTTTTCTGTTGAACCAAACAAGTCTTTGCTCTTTTGCCTCCTGTTGAAAGTTCAAATCTTCCTCATTCGTGCTTTTCCATCTCTTTCCTCTTTGACTGAGCTTGACACTCATGGTCATCTAAGATTGAGACACAGACAGCCTTGTGTTGACTTCATGGATTCCCTAGTCTAACCCATGTAAGGGCACTTTTGAAGCTATAATCAGAGATACATTAAAAGAGATACGAAAAAGGGAAACAATAAATAGGAAATTTCCAGAATTAACTTGGAATTCCAAAAAACAGAACAGCAATAGAACAGAATGGTTGACCACAATCCTCCGAATTATTAGATGCTGCTGATTCTCATAATATTTTGGGAGTGCTTTGCAACACTCTCTTTCATGCTGGGGAATAGATATTAGTAATTCTTAGCTTGCTTACATTAGACTCAGTTGGATTTTGACAAGGCCTTCGTGAGAACATCTGTATCTTTTAACTTAGTTGGAACATAGTGTAAGGTAAATGTTTCCCATTTTAAATTTATGACTTGATGAAGTTTTTTTGTAGATCAACAGTAAGGCCTGCATGCTATATGGAGTTGAACATAGGCCAACAAAGAAGCTATATGAGCATAAAATGTGAGTAGCGGAAATGACATTGTTAAGGTGAATATATGGTCATATAAGGATGGATAAGATAAGAAATTAAGATATTTGATGAAAGGTTAGAGTATTACCGGTGGCCAAAAGGATGAGAGAACATAGATTGAAATGTAGCACATTCTTCGAAGAAAGACCACTAGAGGCTCTCGTAAGAACATAAGTTTGTCTCTGATGGGCTTGAAAGTGAGTTAGTTAGAGAATTTTTCTAGAATATTCTTAGAAAATAGGATAAAAGGAAAAGGGAGTGTGTGGAGTGAGGTATGCATGTATTGAGTGAATATGGGAATTTGGGGATCTCTTAGAGCTTAGGGTAGTTGGTTCTAAGGGTGAGTTGTGGTCTTTTGGTTTCTTATTCTTGTATTAGTGCTTGTAAAAAGAGGCTATGCCTCCATTGATGCAATAAAACTAGTGTTATAAATTTGGGTTTCATCAATTTGGTATTAAAGCATCTTCGATCCAAAGGTGCTTCTGGTCCATATTTGTGAAGGAATGACAGCCATGGGAGGAATCAGCGATTCAGAGCACGAGCAAATTTTGAAAAAAATGATAAGGTGTTAGATGTGGCAATAGAGAGGATGGAGACACAGAGATTTGAAATCAGGAAGAACAATTTTGGACACAATCTACTGCTGAGGTTTATTTTAGGAGAAAGTATAGGGGAAATAAACCATCTCAATTGCTTGCATAACTTCCCTAGAGAGATGGGAAGGAAGTTATCAAGTAATTACTTGGTAATGGAGGCAGAAATTGCTGCTTAGGGGTTGTAGCAGTTATGGATCTATAAATATGTAAAGAACCAATTCAACCCTAAAGCTTAAGCTATTGGGTGAGGCTACATTAATTATTTTATATATCTCAACATGTCCCTTCACACGAGAGCCCACTGGGCTTGATGGGTGGACAATACACAAGCCCATCTACCTGTGCGAAGAAAGAAATTCCACTAGAAAGAAAGTGGGGGGCGATGAGGATCGAACCCGGTACACCGAGGCTCCGATACCATGTAAAGAACCAATTCAACCCAAAAGCTTACTTAAGCTGTTGGGTGAGACTACATTAATGGTTTTATATATCTCAACAAAATAAAAGTAGGAAATTGTAATTGTAATTAGGAATTAACTCATAAACATAAGAGAATAATGGAGAGAATATCCCTCTTGAATGCATGCTTTGTAATGCTGTTCTCTGTGTTATTACAAACACATTTGTAATTGTTTCAAAGTTTGTTGATTCAGAAAGTAATTTCTAATATAGTTGTGCTCCAAATCCGATTCTTACTACTGTGTTTTGAGTTTTATATTATCATACGATTTATCTTAGAACGGAGTGGATGAAAACTATTAACATTGTAGAGGGAAATATTTTTCCCTATGTTCCAGATTGACCGTTTTAGTCCTTTTCATTATATTAATTTATTTGGTCTTTCTTATTTACGTCTTTTCTCACAATCTGTCCTTTATTTTATCTGGGTTTATTATACCAACGACCCCATCCAGTTTAGAATAAATGTGATGTTGATGTTAAAGTTGGTGTCGACTTGATTTAGTTTCTATCAATCATCACATGCTTGATCCTGCCATGTTGAACTGGATTGTGAACTATTGTAATGGTTGACTTGTCAATGAAAAGTTTTATGTTCTTGAAGTCAAACCATAAGTCCGGTAATAACCTATTTATCCATATCAATTTGCAAAACTCTTGAACAATTGCTGTATATTCTCCCTCCACAGTGCTTTTAGCAAAAACAATATGTTTCTTGCTTAACTTGGTCTTTGAATTTCCCCATATTTTTGTACAATACCCAGTGACCGAAAGGTTACATATTCGAATTCGGAAAATAAACTCTTTGATATGTAAGGATAATAAAGTTGCGTACAAGGATTGTCCTCATCCTACCCCTCACTAGTTAGGATTTAATAGGGAGTTTTTTTTTTTTTTTTTTGGGTACAATTCTCTGTAACGGACTTGGTATCCTCAACTGAGCCTGTCTAGTCAGTGTTTGTGAAGCACTCAACTCCCTGGTTGTTCATTCATCCTTAATAATAATCCCTTTCCTGATGTGCATTTTATTATGTCAAGGTAAATAGCTAAATTGGATGGAAGGTAGAAGATCACAATGCGTTTATGAAAGATTAGGGTCTAATGTACCTAATTTGATAATTAAGGTAAAAAGTGAAAATTAATTATTAAATTAGAAAGATCACAATGCGTTTATGAAAGATTAGGGTCTAATATACCTAATTTGATAATTAAGGTAAAAAGTGAAAATTAATTATTAAATTTGAAAGGTAAATGCATTTGACCCTAACTTTGTATCTATCTAAATTTTAGCTTATGCATTACTATGAAGTTGTTTATAGTTTTTAAAACAGTATTTAACTTGGTACTTGTCTTGATGAAAATCTTAGGACCAGCCCATGCAAAAGCCAAACAAGGATAAGCTTGAATCAACGATGACCATTTTAAGTGTGCCACCGTTGAGCTTGGGGGAGAGATTTGAGGATGCTTACGAAGTAATTTTAATATTGGATGATCGGGAGCATTTTGCCACTCAGGGGTTAGTAACATAAATAGAAAGACACTATTTTCAATTAGGCTTATTTTACGATTTGTATCATATGCTTTATCAGTATTCATTTTAGTATTAGCGACAATATGTATAGTTTATTTGTATTTAAGGCAATTTAGTTTATTGTCTGTCTTGTTTCTGATGACTTCAATGTACTTTATATTCTATTGTTTCAGCTCACGATCCAGGAAGATTATTGACAATATCTGCAGCCAATTCAAAATCCATATAGAGGTGAGTTTTAATATCCTTACCATCTACAAGTAGTTCCTAAAGCTTCTGAAAAATTGAGTGTATGTATTATTTACTGTATCCTGATGCTAATATTTAATATTTATCATGGAAACTGACATTGAACCATGTGATCACTAGGCGAGATATCAATATCATGCACAAGTTTTGGATGTCTAAGTATATTTATTACTGCATTAAGATGAACATGAACTTGACCTAGGATACAAAAGATCTCTTGGGATGGTGATATACTGTATTTGCAGGAGCATTTATTTGATGCTGGCCTTTCCAAGTGATATGGCTGCTTATTTTGATAGCCAATATAACTTATATCATTGTGTAATTTTTTTTTTTAGAACTTCTATCTTTGGCAGATTATGACATACTTCAAGACAGAAATGGCAAGAAAGTTGTAACAAAACTGTTCTTCTATTTGAGCCCATTACCTCTGTTTGATTTTATTGATGAAAATTGGAAACTTTCAGTTAAGCTTTTTTGGCAACTTAAATTATGTATAAATTGTTAGAAATAATATTATTAATTGAATCTGAAATATATTGTATATTCAAGTGTGTAAGTCTGTACAAGGAGGCTCTCTATTTATAGAGACTAAAAGACCTAATGGGATGACCTAAAGGGCCAAGCCCACAATCTAGACTATTCTAGACTATTCTAATAATAATAAATTAATATTATTTCTAACACTCCCCCTCAAGCTGGTGCGTATATATCAAAAGCTCCCAGCTTGTTACAGATATGATCTATTCGGGGACCTCTAAGAGCTTTAGTGAATACATCCGCAAGTTGATCATTGGAATTGACAAATGTTGTCTCGATCTCCCTTGACTGGATCTTTTCTCTAACAAAATGACAGTCAATTTCTATATGCTTGGTCCTCTCATGAAAGACTGGGTTAGAGGATATATGCAAAGCGGCTTGGTTGTCACAAATGAGCTTCATAGGCCTTTGTTCACAGAGATGGAGTTCCTTCAGCAATTGTCTCAGCCAGATGAGCTCACAGGTTGCATTTGCCATTGCCCGATATTCTGCCTCCGCACTGGATCTGGCGACCACAGTTTGCTTCTTACTCTTCCAAGAGATCAAATTTCCTCCGAAGAGAACACAATACCCTGAGGTGGATCGTCTATCTGAAGGAGAACCTGCCCAGTCAGCATCTGAATAACTAGAGATCTCTGAACTCCCTTTATTTGTATATAATAAACCTCTTCCTGGCGCCTTTTTAATATATCGGAGAATTCTAATAACTGCATCCCAATGGGAGTCACAGGGAGAATCAAGAAATTGACTTGCAACACTCACTGCGAAGGAGATATCTGGCCTTGTCACAGTAAGATAATTCAATTTTCCAACTAGTCGGCGGTAGCGACTAGGATCTGGCAGTGGCTCCCCCTGTCCTGGTAATAACTTAACATTGGGGTCCATAGGTGTATCAATGGGTTTACAGCCTAACATGCCAGTCTCATCTAGGATATCCAGTGCATACTTCCTCTGACAGATGGAAATGCCCCGCCTAGACTGTGCAACTTCGATCCCCAAGAAATATCGAAGTCTGCCAAGATCTTTGGTCTGAAATTGATTGAATAAATGCTCTTTCAACTGATCAATCCCGGTCTGATCACTGCCTGTAATGATAATGTCATCAACATAGACCAGGAGATAAACACACTGGCCAGAAGAGCTATGCCGGTAAAAGACAGAATGATCGGTTTTGCTTCTGATTAAGCCAAAGGATTCAACAACTGAACTAAAGCGGCTAAACCAGGCCCGAGGAGATTGCTTCAGGCCATATAAAGATTTCTGAAGTTTACATATCATTCCAGAACTCTCCCCCTGAGCAACAAAACCTGGTGGTTGCTCCATATAAACTTCCTCCTGCAAGTCACCATGTAGAAAAGCATTCTTAATATCAAGTTGGAGAAGGGGCCAGTGATGAATGGCGGCAAGGGCAAGAAACAGGCGAACAGAAGCCATCTTAGCAACAGGAGAAAAGGTATCCCCATAATCAAGACCAAAGATCTGTGTGTATCCCTTGGCCACTAAGCGAGCTTTAAGGCGATCAACAGTGCCATCAGGACCAACTTTAACTGTGAACACCCATCGACAACCAACAACAGACTTCCCGGGAGGAGCACGAACAAGATCCCAAGTGCCATTGGAGTGAAGTGCCTGCATTTCATCAAGCATCGCCTGGCGCCACCCTGGATGAGATAGTGCTTCACCTGTGGTTTTAGGGATGGAAACAGAAGAGAGACTAGAAACAAAAGTAAGTGAAGAAAGTCTGTCATAACTCAAGAAAGAATAAAGGGGATGAGGATTTCGAGTGGATCGAATACCTTTCCGAAGGGCAACGGGAGGAGTCTCTGATGGAGGATCCGGAGGAGAAGAGCTGACGGGAAAGAGCGATGAGTCATCAAGAGGCAAAGTCGGAGGAGGAGCAGGCTGACGACGCTGGTATGTGAGGAGAGGACGATCTGCAGGTATGGAGGTAATTGGTTGCTCCTCTGGAATAGGGTCACCTGCAGCTGGTAAAGACAAGTCAAGAAAAGGAACAGGAAAGACCTGATCAACCTGTGACACTGGAGACGGAGTAGAGTGAAAAGGCTGCTGATCAAGGAAAGTGACATCAGCAGAAACGATATAACGCTTGAGATCAGGAGAATAGCAACGATACCCTTTTTGAAAACGTGTATACCCAAGGAAAATACATTTGAAGGCCTTGGATGTCAACTTGTCTTTACCTGGAGTAAGATCATGAACAAAACAAGTACAACCAAAAATATGTAAAGACAGAGGATAAGAAGGTGCTCCGGAAAACAAAATACTGTGGGGAACATCATTATTTAGCACAGAAGAGGGCATGCGGTTGATAAGGAAACATGAGGTGATAATAGCATCTGCCTTTAAACGGAGTGGGACGTTCATATGAATGAGAAGAGTACGTGCAATTTCAACTAGATGTCTATTTTTACGTTCAGCGACTCCATTTTGTTGTGGAGTGTGGGGACAGGTAGTCTGGTGTATCGTCCCATGTGTATCCAGAAATTTAGAAAATTCAAGAGACACATACTCTTTTGCATTATCACTGCGCAAGATTTGAATAGAAGCACCAAATTGAGTTTTTATTTCTGCACAAAACTTTTGATAAATTGAAAATAACTCAGAACGATTTTTCATTAAATAAACCCAAGTGCAACGGGAGAAATCATCAATAAAGGTTACAAAATACTGAAAACCCAATTTTGACATAGTCCGACTCGGACCCCAAATATCAGAATGAACAATAGAAAAGGGAGCAGCAGCTCTCTTATTGACTCTACTAGCAAAGGAAGAGCGAGTATGCTTTCCCTGCTGACAAGACTGACAATTCAAAGACTGAAGACCTGACAAAAAAGGAACCATATGCTGAAGCTTCGAGAGACTTGGATGACCCAGACGGCTATGGAGAAGCTCAGGAGACTCTGTGAGAGAGCATGCAACTGGAGCAGAGGGTGCATGCAGATAGTAGAGACCTCGTGACTCACCGCCCGCTCCAATCGTCTTCCCCGTACCCGGATCCTGCATAGAAAAAGACTGTTTAGGAAAGGTGATAGAGCAAGAAAGAGAATGGGTCAATTGACTAACAGAAATTAAATTAAAAGGAATGCCAGAGATGTAATAAACAGAGGTTAAAGTCAAGAAGGGAGTTGGTTTGGCTTGCCCAATGCCACGAGCAGGAGCCTTGGTGCCATCAGCAAGAGTAACAGAGGGAAGATTATTAGAAAAGGTAAGGGAAGTAAAAAGATCCTTATTACCACAAAGATGATCAGTAGCACCTGAGTCTATTATCCAGGGTCCAAGAGACGATTGAGAAAAACAAGCAACATGATTACCAGTATCTGGAGCAGGTGGCTGAGAAGAACTCTTCTGGAGAAGGGCCTCATAGTCTGCAGCGGAAATAGTCACTGATCCGGTAGAGGGCGGCACAACATCTGTTTGAGCAAAGTTCATATGTGGTGGCTTCAAGTGAGGGTACTTTCTATAACAACGTTCTTCAATGTGGCCCAGATTTTGGCAATAATTACACCGAGGCCTTTGTCCTCGGCCACCCTGTCCATATGCGGAAGGTTTGCCGGTATGATGCACGGCAGTAAATAAGAAAGGAAAAGATATATATGCGGAAGCAGAGCCCTCAGATCGAGAGCTCTGATACCAAATTGAATCTGAAATATATTGTATATTCAAGTGTGTAAGTCTGTACAAGGAGGCTCTCTATATATAGAGACTAAAAGACCTAGTGGGATGACCTAATGGGCCAAGCCCACAATCTAGACTATTCTAGACTATTCTAATAATAATAAATTAATATTATTTCTAATCATTAATATTATTTCTAACATAAATCTTGGGAAAAATGTTTGTTCTTTTAAATGACACAACTTATGTCTTTTCACTCTTACAAAGATGTGGGACTCACACTTTTTTTTTTTTGTCCACTCTCTCTCTTCCATGATTTATCTCTTTCTCTTACTTAAAATGAAACAACTTTATATTCTTTAAAATGACTCACACTTTTCCCATAAATCTTACTTAGACACGGATGAAACATATATTTATATCTTGTGCTTGTCTGTTTTGTCGATGGTAAAAATCATCTAGAAATTGGTTCATATATCTTAGGTTCGGCGATTGCCAGTTGGAGATGGGATTTGGATTGCACGCCATAAAACTCTTGACAGTGAATATGTATTGGATTTTATTGTTGAGAGGAAGAAAATTGGTGATTTATGCAGTTCAATCAGGGATAACCGCTATAAGGATCAGAAATTAAGACTTCTGGTAATTATTCCTTCTTAGATAGAATTGTTTCTTGTTTTTTAAATTTTTTTGAACCTGTTGATGGGAAGTATATGCATATATGGTCACTGATTAATATTTCTGCTGCTTTCTTTTCCTGTTTTAAAGAAAATAGAGTGATGGATGTTTGGTTGTAGAATTTTGATAAAGATATCACCGAATGATTGGTATCTTCACTTAGATATTGTATCTTATTTCAGCATGATATTGAGGATTCCAATCACTAGTATTCAAACAACATGTCAGTAGGAACTTTATGCTTTGTATGATTCACTTTCTGTACTGGAACTTGTGCATTATATTCTGTGAAGAGTTTACACATTGTTTGCACTGTGCTTGTTGAAATGTGTTTGTGTAATGCCTCTTACTCAGCAATATCATCTTAAAGCATGCCATACTAACGTAGCCTACCCAAACCCTACTTTTCAATCAAATTGCACATTGTTAGAGATGTGGGCTGAAGAAGCTGATATATCTTGTGGAAGGTGACGCAAATTCTTCTGAAGCTGCTGAAAGCATAAAAACTGCGTAAGTATTGTTTCTTATGTTAAGCTGATGTTGTAGTGTTTGATTAGCCATGGGGAAAAGAGAGAGAGAGGAGAGCGGGAAGAGAAGAGGGGTCTTTTTTTTTTTGGGGGGGGGGGTTGACTGAGCCATTCCATGAAAGAGGATGGTTCGGAGCAGAAAACTGAGCCATTCTCAGTAGTAAAGGGGTCAACGCTTGGAAAGAGGAATCCTCCTCTTGTTTTCCTATCTTCTGAATAAAATAATACCCTTCTTAAACTCCCTTTATCTCTCTCTCTCTCTCTCTCTCTTTTCCCTACTCCAATAGTTCTAGATAGCAATCATTCTGGGCCCCTAGCAATCATTGTTATGGCATTCATAGAAAATACTAAAGTACTGCTACATTCTGGTTGAGTGGGGTTCATTCCATGAAACTTTGTTTCTTTCTACCTTTAATAATTGTACTATTAGTTGTGCAATGTTCTGTGGTCCCTCTAAAATTGGTTACTTCTGGGTAATGTATTGTGCATTTGTTTCTTGTAATTTTTATTATTAATAATGGTAAGTATCATTTTGAACTTGCTTTTGATTGGTAAAAATGAAGGGAAAAATGTTTGTCCTTTTAAAGGACATATAGTTGTGCCATTTTAAAAGAGAGAAAGATACAACCTAATATTTTTTTATTTAAAGTTTAAATTTAAAAAAAAAATTACCCATTTTTTCTCCCATGATTTCCATTACTTGTTTCTTTCTCTCGTTTAAAATGAGATAACTCCATGTTCTTTAAAAGGACAAAGACTAAACCAAAAATGAATTGAGGCAACTATTTATTAGTTAAATTTCCTGTAACAACTTGTTTGTTTATTTGGCGAAGTGGTCAATAGAGTTCTTATGTTTTGTTATGATGCTATTTCGCATGAGGTTTCTGTACCAGTGAGATGAATGTGTTGCTAATTTTTGCTTGAGTTAGTGAAGTGTAAAATTATTGCCGTGTCAGTCAATGATTCAAATTGTTTGCTTATATCTTCAAGAAATTCAGTACATGGACATTTCTCTTCGTGTAAAATTATTCCCATTTTCAGACTTTTTTTAATCCCACCTTGTTCAGCTGTTTTACAACAGAGATTCTGGAGGGATTTGATGTGCAGAGAACAAGTGGCTTGGGTGATACCCTAAGAAAGTATGGTTATCTTACCCAAGCAATTTCTCAATATTACAAGTCAGGAAATTTTGATGACAATGTCAAATATCCCATATGTCCTCCTTACGATGAATTTATTAGAAGGTGTCAAGACCTTGAAAAAATGACAGTTAGTGATGTATTTGCCATCCAGCTTATGCAGGTACTAACAATTTACAAAATTAAATCTGAACTGTTTTTCTAGCGTTTGTTTAGTTTGTCTAACTGAGTTGAATCCGTTGATCTTGAGTAGCCTTTTAATTTACAATTTGCAACACATTTACTCTGCCTTCGGGTATGATTTAGCTATCAAATGTTATTTACAGGAAATTTTCAGGAATCAGAGGCACAACTTAAATTGCTTACTTGTATTTGGATCCTTTAGCACCAATGTTGATACACTACACGTAGGGTAACTGAATAACAACACGTAACCAATTTCTTATTCTCAATGAATGCTGTCAATTACACAAATGTATCTATTTATACTCTCATATGCTTGCCACGTGTTTTCCCACTCAACTTTACTCAACACGTATCTTGTTATTACAAAGCTACTACACATGTGGCACCTATACAATATGACTATATCAGTAACTATTTCAATATCTTCTACTGCATATAGTCCTTAGCCCAAGTTGGACATCCCTTCAATCTGATTCCACGCCTTGGAACTCCCTTATCCTCTTCTTTCTTCGTATCAACAACCTCCCCTAAAACAGTAACCTTGTCCTCAAGGTTGAGTTCGGGGTAAACCTTCTTCAACTCCCTCATCTCCACCCAAGAAGCATCTTCAGGAACAGTGGAGGACCATTGAACCAGATACTCTGTTGTTAACCTTCCTCGAGCCTTTGTTTGTCTTGTAGCCAACACTGCAACCGGTTGTTGAATTGGCTTGTTGTCCATACTCGATACAGGTAGAGGCTCATAACTAATCTCAGCTTTACCATAAAACGGTTTCAACAAGGATACGTGGAAAGTAGGATGAATCATGCTACCTTCAGGTAATGTTAATCGATAAGCCACAGGACTGATTACCTTTTCAACTGGAAATGGTCCAAAGTACCTTTTGGCTAGCTTATGATTAGCTCTCCTAGCTACCGATAACTGTCTGTATGGTTGCAATCTTAGCAAAACCTTGTCTCCAACTTGAAACGTTCTCTCCTGTCTCTTCTTATCAGCATTATTTTTCGTGCGTAACTGAGCTTGCTGCAGCTGAGTTTTCAATAGATTGAGAACTTGTTGACGTTGGTACAACATCATGTCAACAGCCTCAACCTTTACTTCCCCTTTCTGATATTGAAGTACTAAGGTAGGTACCTTCCCATATAAGGCTTGAAACGGGGACATATTAATAGAAGAATGTAAGATGTATTGTAGTGTAACTCAGCCCAACACAACAATGTAGACCATTTATGATTCTGTTCTGAGCAAAATGCCCTGAGATATTGCTCTACATACCAATTTGTCACCTCACTTTGGCCATCCGATTGAGGGTGATAAGCTGATGTAGCTTGCAATGTAGTACCACTCAATGTAAATAGCTGACGCCAGAATTTACTCATGAAAATTGGGTCTCTGTCTGACACCAAGGATTTTGGAAATCCATATAATTTAACTACCATGTTACAAAAAAGGTGAGCAACAGTGGCAGCTGTATAAGACGATGGTAAAGCTCCAAAATGGCCATATTTTGATAATCTATCCACAACAACCAAAACGGTGGTATAACCATTGGAACGGGGAAGAGAAGTGATAAAATCTAACGTGAGGTCATCAAACATTGCATGAGGAATTTTTAGTGGCGGTAACAATCCAAAAGGTAACTGTGTGGAGCTTTTAATTTGTTGACAAACCACACATTCTTTTACAAATTGCTTAACATCCTTTCTCATATTCTTCCATATGAATGAAGTAGAAAGACGTAAAAATGTGCGGTGCACACTTGCATGTCCTCCAAGTGAGCCTCCATTAACAAGGTTTCCTTCAGAGCAGAATTTGATCCCAACAGGCATTTATTATTATGAAAAATCATCCCATCCTTGTTGCACAATGCCTTGTCTTGATGTGTTCCTTGATCGAGTTCTCTGTGTAATAACAATAACTCCTGATCAACTTTGTTTTCTGCCCGGATTTTCTCCCAAATATCCAAGGTTGGCTCCGAACGTAATGCATTAATAGTTGCATTGTCATCATCTGAGAATTGCCTTGAAAGGGCATCTGCCACTACATTTGATATGCTTGATTTGTACTCAATCGTGAAATTATAGCCCATCAACTTGTACATATATTTCTGTTGCTCTGGAGTTTGTATTGCTTGTGTCAATAACTCCCTTAAGCTCTGGTGATCTGTTCTGAGGATGAAATGAGATCCAAGCAAGTAGTGATGCCACTTTTTAATGGCTTCTGTCACTGCATACAGCTCACGCACATAAGCAGAAGAGGCTGCCATTCTTGGACCAAATTTCTTACTAAAGAAAGACACCGGTTTCCCATTCTGCAACAACACTGCCCTAGCCCCCAAATTCGATGCATCAGATTCAACCACAAATGAAGAAGCAAAATCAGGTAGCTGTAACACAGGAGTTGAGGATACAACTTCCTTCAATGCTGTGAAAGCTTGCATTGCCTCAAGACTCCAATTTAGTTTCTCATGCTTCAGTAATTCAGTTATTGGATAACCTATAGATGCATAACCCTTAACAAATCTTCGATAATACCCAGTTAATCCCAAAAAGGCTCTCAGCTGTTTAATTGATGTAGGTATCAGCCAATCAATCATTGCTGAAATTTTCTTGGGGTCTGCCTTTACTCCATTGGTTGTGACTACATGCCCCAGGTATGCTATTTCTTCCAAACCAAATTCACATTTACTCAATTTTACAAAAAATGAGTTTTGCAGTAGGCATTGCAATGCAATTTCTAAATGGCTGACATGTTCTGTTAAAGATGAACTATAAATCAAGACATCATAAAAAAAACCACGATAAACCTGCGCAAATAAGGACGAAAGATTCTATTCATGGCAGCTTGGAAAGTTGCAGGCGCGTTGGTTAGGCCAAAAGGCATCACTTTGAACTCATAGTGACCCTCATGAGTTCTAAATGTTGTCTTGTGTATGTCTTCGGTTTTCATCCATATTTGGTGGTAACCGAAGCGTAGGTCAAGCTTGCTGAATATCTTGGCCCCAAATAACTCATCTAGTAACTCATCTATTGTGGGGATGGGGAAAGCATCCTTCACTGTCACCACATTTAAGGCACGATAGTCAATACACATTCTCCATGTTTTATCTTGCTTTCTGACTAATAAACCCGTAGAGGAAAAAGCACTATGACTTTGTTGAATCCAGCCATTCGCTAGTAGGTCCGAAATTTGTCTTTCTATTTCTTCCTTTTGGTGGTACGGGTACCTATATGGTTTTTACTTTAACCGGTTTGGAATTGTCCACCAAGTCAATAGCATGAGACATCTCTCTAAAAGGAGGTAGTAATTTGGGAATATCAAACACTGGATGATAAGAAAGCAATACCTTCCACATCACTTCAGGTAATTTGCTTTGTAAAAGGTAAAGATCAGAATTTACCTCAGAAGCTATGTTTGTCCCTTCTGTCATAGATAAGGAATTACAATTGGCATCTTCTAGCTGTACATTCGGCTTCTTCCTGCGTGGTCTCACACCTTTCAAAGTGATTAACTTCTCATCCCAAGTAAACTCCATCATAGTGACTAGCCATTGCATGCCCAATACCACATTCAAATCGACCAAATCCACCACATAAAGATCAGTAGTTACACAATGACCCTGAATCCACAATTGGACCTTCATGCATTTCTTTTCACAGAGCAAAAATTCACCATTGCCCAAGAATACTCTCATCTTGGTGGCACGCATCATAGGTAATTGGAGCTCTTCGACTAACTGTCTTCTAATGAAACTGTGTGAGCTACCCGAATCTACAAGCACTTGAACCTCTTTTCCTTTTACCTCAGCCAGCAGAATAAGGGATCTGCTATCCACCTTCCCAGATAACGAATGCAAAGCAGCATCTACTCGAGAGTCTTGAGCATCCTCCTGACCCCATACAATTTCTTCCTCTTGTTCTTCATCTGAATTCCCTTCATCTACTATCATCAGAAGCATCTTAGATTTGCAATGATGCTTTGATGTCCATTTCTCATCACACGTATAACAGATTCCTAAGTCCCTTTTCCTTTGTAAATCTTCATTTGACATTTTCTTAATTGGTAGAGAAGATTGTGGAGCAGGTAAGGCAAGTGGTGTATTAGCATTACCTTTCTTTGTCGTGCCCACTGTATATGGTTTCTGAAAATATTTCTTTGGTTGATTATTGAATGAAGACCGTAATTCCCCATGATGGCTATCATAGGCAATTGCCAATTGCATGGCCTGATGTAACGAGGATGGCCAACGCAGTTGAATTGCTCCTTGCAATTTAGGTTGTAATCCAGCAACAAAAAATGTTTTTAACAAATCATCACTGACATTTGATACCTGGTTCATCAGTCGTTGGAATTCAGCTATGTAATTCGCTAGTGATCCAGTCTGCATGAGTTTGGCAAGTACCCCTCGAATATCTTTGTAATTGGATGGTCTAAAACGCTCACGAACTACTCGAGTGAAGTCTTCCCAAGAACGAATCGTGCCTTCGCTGAAAATCCATTGAAACCAATCAGCAGCAACTCCTTCCATTCTCAACCCTGCAAGTTCCACCTTCATTCGTTCTGGTACCTGTTGAATCTTGAAGAATAGCTCTGTCTTGAAGAGCCAAGGATTCGGTTCCTTCCCATCGAATTTGGGAATTTCTGGTTTCACAAACTTCAACACGTTCCGAGGATCATCCGCGTTCACACTCTGAGGAGGAACATTGCGCGCCGGTTGGTGAGGAAACCCTTGAGGATTTGTCTCCATGGAACCCTTGGGTATGTTGGTCAGAACCTCTTTAAAACTACAATGCAATTCTTGCACGTGTGCCTCCATCGCTATCAACAATTGTTCGATACGCAGATTGTTTTGATTGTTCTGCTCCTGATATTGCTGAAATTCATCTGCTAAATCCTGAATCTTCATGTTTGGAATTCACCAGAATGAAAGCACCAATGATACACTACACGTAGGGTAACTGAATAACAACACGTAACCAATTTCTTATTTCTCAATGAATGCTGTCAATTACACAAATGTATCTATTTATACTCACATATGCTTGCCACGTGTTTTCCCACTCAACTATACTCAACATGTATCTTGTTATTACAAAGCTACTACACATGTGTGGCACCTATACAATATGACTATATCAGTAACTATTTCAATATCTTCTACTGCATATAGTCCTTAGCCCAAGTTGGACATCCCTTCAATCTGATTCCACGCCTTGGAACTCCCTTATCCTCTTCCTTCTTCGTATCAAATGTTGTCAAAATCGAGTTTCTACGTAGAAACGGAAGAGAATGGTAGAAACATAAATCGTAAAAATGATACGAAATGTAAAGTTTCTACTACAAAATTATATATATATATATATATATCCATGTAAAACAAATATCACATAAGTTACTACTCAAAATTTAATTAAGAACTTCATATTCAATAAATCACATAACTATATAAAACATAAGTCAAAAAACACAAAAAGAGTTTAGCAACTCTAATAACCAAGTTCCAAAACATCTAAAGAATAAATTTTAACAATTCTGAAATGGAAATACAGCGGCGTCGCGTGAGGTTTTTTTTTTCCAAATAGCTAGAAGAAGATAATGTGTTTTTGATTTGAGGGAAACAAAAATAGTTTTTTTTTTTTAAAATAAAATAAAAATAAAACGGGTCATGGGTTAAAAGTTGACCCGATTCAGTTTTTGATTTAAGTAAAAACGTAAAAACTTACATTTCTACCATTTTTACGTTTTTACCGAGGAGAGTTTTTACTTGCGATTTAACACGTATTACTTCAGTAAAAACGTAAAAACAAGTTTTTACACTAGTTTTTGACAACAATGATTAGCACTTGGATAAATTTTGATTCTTTGTTGCTGGATCATCAAATTTACCATAATCTTTTCAGGGAAATATAATTGGAACTGGCTGAATATCACCCTTATTTGGTCTTCTGCACTTTCATTGAACAGCATACTTTTTGTGCTTGAGCCTGTTTTGCATAAAAACAGAAATTTCTTGTAAAATTAGATAATTCTGGTGTCTAACTCTTTCGTCCTAAAAATTGATTAATGTTTTGGATTCAGACTTTCTGGAAATTACAAATGCAGGTCCCACAGGTTACAGAGGAGGTTGCCATGGCTGTGTTGGATTTGCACCCCACACTTTTGTCTCTCGCGCATGCCTACTCGGTACTTGTGAGTCCTCATTCCTTTCTCTTAAGTAGCAAGTAAATTATTTCGTGTGTTTGGAATAATATTTCTGAGAATCATGGGAAATGGCCCCAGTATTTGAGAGCCAGTTTGAAGCCGGTCAACGCTAATTTAGATTGTTTTTGTATGCTTTGTCACTAAACTAACTTCCCTCTCTCTTCCAATTTAATTCTCTCTAATTGCTTGATTTGATTAGGATGGTGATGCTCGAGCCCAGGAGGAGATGCTTCGAAGACAGAGTAACAATGTGATCAATACAGTTGCCAGTAGGAACATTTTCCAGTTGGTTTGGGGTAGCTGAGGTGCATTTCCCTTCCCCTGTCAAAGTTGGGTTTTTGGATGTGAATCTACTAAGGAAAGGTGAAAACCATCGATTCGGTTGGTGTTGTCATCATGTGGCCCCGCAAAGGTCACAGGCTCTATTTGTGTAATCAACCACTGTGAAATGTAAGGTAAGACTGCCTATTGGCTTTTGACCCAAGATGCACAATCCAAGACATTACCATTTAATTTTTTGACAAATTATTTATCATTCTAATGCAAGTAAAACATGAATAGTATGCACATTTTAAGTCGTGCATTATTTTCATGCATGACTTGTGCAAAAATTAGTGCAATGCAAGACACATTCTGGCAGTGTGCGACATATGGCAAACGTGTTTTCACCTTTGCACAAGTCGTGTATAGGGGTGATACGCGACTTAAATACACACTCCCCATGTGCATGTGCATTTCACTTGTATTAGATTGGTAAATAATTTATCAAAATAATTAAATTGGTAAAATGTTTGTGTTTTTGCATCAGGAGGGTAAAAAAGCCCTGCCTATCATAAACCTACACAATGTGTGACCCTTTCCTAAACCCTGCACATAACGTGAGCTTTATAGATCAGGATGTCATTTCCCCCCCCCTTAATTTCATAACTTTTCATTATTGTATGTTTATGTAAAATTAATATTAATTGACATTGTAATTGAGTTTTAGTTAAGCAGCAATCTGTGTAATTTGTAAAGGAAAGTCATATATGTCATGACTTTATTGTTTTTCCCTGTAATCTCATATACCATATGGCCTGGCACGCAAGGTTTTAACTTCTCGAGAATTAATATCTGGTGACAGGTTGGCTGCAAGCCTGCAACTTTAGTGGGATATCAATTCCAATACAAGCTTTTGGTGAGTTTTGTTTTGTTTTTATTTTCATAGCAAATATTGCAATGCATCGGATTGTAAAGCGCATAGCCGATGACTCTGATTTGTGAACTCCGGTTGACTTGCGATAAGTGTAGTTTTCTTAGCTCCTTATGAGCAAATTTCCCCTCAAATAATTCTTAGGATAAATAATTAACATATAGAATATAATCGAATAATGAACATCCATCGACATAAAACAATGGAAAAGTACTTTTTTAGGCAGGGTACTCCTGTCAAGTGTTTCTGACTCTAATATACGGAGGAAAACTTAATATTGCATAATAATTAAAAGCCTGTGTTTTTTCAAGGTACCTAAAGAATATTTATAGCCAACAAGTGGTGGCACAGTTGGCTAATGAGTCGACTCATACCCCTAACGGATGTGGGTTTATTTCCTCTGCTCTTGTCTGGTGGGTGATCTTTAAAGTGGGTTTTCTTTCAGTTGTCCTTTCAAAAATCCTCTAGGTTGAAAAGTCCGCCTTGATCCTGGTGGGCACCTAGACTTATTATTTACTAAAATAATAATAATAATATTTATAACCCAAAAGAAATTAATAATTCTAAATAAATAAAAAATAAATAGTTATTTCTAACTAAAGTATTGGCTAATGGTTTTTGGCCCATCTCTTGCTCTCTCGTCATTATGGAATATACTCCCTCCTATAAATCTCTCATTCAACAGAGGAGGTACATATTATCTTATATTTTCATGAGTTGTTACTTTGTTAGATTTTAGAGTCATCATTGCCCTACACACCCTCTCTTGCAGCCCTTTTCTTGCGCACTTATGGTGACTCTCATTGATCTTTGGTTTATATCATTGCATCCTTGAGCATCTACGTATCAAGATATTATACCCCTTGAGGGACATAGACCTAGCTTCAAATCCATAACAATTCAAAAGATTTAGTCCCTAAAATGAGGAAAGGTATTTGATGATACTAAACGAGATGAATAGTCCAGTCTAATAACAATCGAAAAGATCAAAAACTAAAGACTTGTTCAGTAAGGAAATGTGTATATGCATTACGGGGAATGCACAACTATATTGACAACAGCATAGGGCTCATAAGTCTCCTTAATAGCCAATGGCTAAAGGTCACAAGATTTCATCTAAGCCTACATATCATAAGCTCACCAATAGGCATCTCGCATACGAGATAAGATGACAAAGCCACCTTAATCTACCAATAACAACGTTGGTCGTCGTACTAAGGTGGCATAACAAGGAAACAAACTGGTCATGCTGTTACTAAAAAGAGAGCCTCAAAGTCGAGGTACGATTTTCTTCTACTAATTTACTTAAGCTCATTCAATCAAATATTGAATTGAGCGTTTGAGTGATTTGCAAGTACCTTATTTGTCTTAGATCAATCACACTCCAATGACATCAAAACCACCATCCCATAAATATCATCTTGCAGAGTTGATTGCCATATGGTTAAGTCCAATTCCTCTTGGACTGATCGAGATTAATATCCTAAATAACATAATTTCTTAAATAAAAAATGGGTTTTACTATTATCATGTTGTAGGATGAGAAACTTGTCCTGCAACCTCCTGATAACTATGTATTTCAGGAAATACATAGTAATAATATTAAAGTTGTTTTTTTTTTCTCTTCACATCAGTTGACAAGTTTTAAAAATGTCTGAGGAAAGAGAAATTTTTTTTTTTATTATAACTATTGCAGGACAAGTTTCTCATCCTACAGCATTATTCTTACATTTTCTATAAAAAATAATAATGAATAATGTTAAAGTGATGTAATGTCCCACATCGGTTGGAGAGGGGAATGAAGCATGCCTTATAAGGGTGTGGATACCTCTTCTAGTGTGAGGCCTTTTGTGGGGTGTCCCAAGAAACAAAATCGTGAGCTCGACGGTGCTTGTGCGCGGGGCAAAACGGACAATATCATGCTATAGGGTTTGGGGCTGTTACATTTGGTATCAGAGCCTGGCCCTGGACCGGTGTGTACAGCGGGGACGCTGTATTCCCAGTGGGGGAGGATGTAATGTCCCACATCGGTTGGAGAAGGGAACGAAGCATGCCTTATAAGGGTGTGAAAACTCCAATTGTAACATACAAAATTCTGAATTAAATAACAAAACTGATAATCGAAAAGCTTTAGCATGCAATTGTATAAATAAGTTTGTAGGGGTGAAGTTCAGGACGATTATAGTAGCCTACATTAAATTTTGAGCCCTACAATGTACAAGAACAGTAAGCTTATAATCATCACTACCGCAAGCTTATAATGTTGGGATGCAAATAAGGAATATGAGAAACAAAAGGTTCAGCAATTTTTAGGGTGTCAGATATGGAAAAAGGATTAAGATCAACAGCTGAACAATGGTTTAAACCATGGACAATCTTAAATGAATTCTCACCATCTTGTTTGCTAATCCCCATCACATTCTTTATCATGTGAGACATTCCTATTAAACTCATCAAGTTCAATTTATCTGCCGAGATAATGTCTAACATCACCTCTGTCTTTAGATTTTATTTTTCAAGCTGCCTTTGAGTTAAAAGGTGTGAATCCTTTTATAGCACTTAGTTGCAAAGGTGCCACTTGTGTAGGTTGGCTAACCAGATTTCTAGGAGGGGCATGATGTAAAACATTGTTTTACCTTGGAGGCGAAAAGAATTTAGTATTCTTTCCCTCATGATTACGGAATCGTCGCCATACTAAGTTATACAACTTGGTATGATTGCGTTAACCTTCTATTCAAATTATACAACTATGAAACTAAATGCAATAACTTTTTAAAATTATTCAAAAGACATATATAGTTGATCATAGAAATGTGGAAACGAAACATGGTCAGTTTAACACGCAATGCTCAGTTCCTATGTTTAGAAGATGTAAGTTAAACAAGAGGACTTTTTATTAGTGAGCGAGAAAGAGATTCTCGATGAGATTTAATTCGTGAAATAAATTTTATTTTTTTTAGTAAAGTCTATTTTGGGTCCCAAACAAAAAATACGGTTATCACTTTAGTCCCTATAAAAAAAAATAGTCATGAAATTCTTAAGAAATTCAAATAGGATCCATTTAGTTGAAATCGTAGTCTCTTATAAATTCAAAAAAGATCCATATTAGTACCTCAAAAGGGCTAAAATGGGTTCACTTTGAATTTCATAGAAGCCAGACGACTAATTTTTTTTATAAGGGACTAAAGTTAGGACCGTATTGTTTGTTAGGGATCCCAAAGTGATTTTACTCTATTTTTTTAATAATTTCTTCTGGACGTTTTGATTATTCATTTTCAGATTATTTGAAAAGTTTTAAGAGATAAATACTTATTTGTCCTTAATGGAATAATTTTTCAATAATTTTCTACCACTTTAGGTAATATAATACATAAAAGTATTTATTTATACAATCCAAAGATTACTTTTATTCTTAAATCGCTTATGAGTAGGTTAGGTAGAGTCAAATCCTTATAGTTACCAAAAAAAAAAAAAAAAAGTCAAATCCTTACGTTTGTCATATATCAAAAAATATTTTCTTCTGTTAAAGTAACTCTCAATATAAAATAAAAAAATCACCGCACATGATACTTATGAATTGAAACTAATATATGTTAGCTTACCAAAAAAAAAAAAAACTAATATATGTTGCATATGAATTAAAAAGTAGCATTTAGTAATAAATAAACATAAATATAAAAAAATTAAGAAAAAAATATTTATCCTTTTAAAGGATAGTCATTTCAGTTAAAAATATTATTTTTATTTAATGTTTAAATTAAAAAAACTCCAATTTTCTCTCACCATGATTTTGTTTCTCTTATCCAAATTATGACTTCATGCAAACAACTCAAATTCTTCTCCGCTAGACTAACTATAATAACTTAAATACAACATGTTTTAACATTAGTCAAGATAAATTAAAGTTAACAAATCTCAAAAGTCACAAGCGACAAATCAAGTAAGGGAATCAAACTTAGTGTTATCATGTATAACTTATTCATTGACTTCATTTTCAATATTTCCAATATGTTTTTTTTTTTTTTGTCATTTAAGCAATCCATCGAATTCTTATAGTAAGTTACTTTATTATTATTATTTTTTTTTTAAATACTTGTTGATATATTTATCATCCATCGAGTTTCGAACCCTAATTCACACCAAGTTACAGTACTAAAATAATGGTATTTATCAACATAATGATCCAGGAAAATCACTACAACATGTCATAGGAACACCAAAAGTGGACTTCACTAGTTTTTCGAAAAAATAAATCACGCATATTGATGGGTCTGTTGAAAAATATCCCACTTTTCTATGAT